AGCGGTCGCGTGGAGTGCGTATGTAACGGGATCCGGCACGCAGGATGGACGGGTTGACTCAACTGGAAAGAGACGATCGGCTTAGGTGATTGGCCGCGCAAAATGATGTGCGCAGCGGCCGTGGGAACGGTGCGCAGGGAAGCGACGGCCGATCGGCCCGCCGGATACATTCCCTGTGCGACGAGAGAAGCGATCTTGCGGCGATGTGAGCGACACGATCGACGGCGATTGCGTGTGCGATGTTTTCAACTATGTGAGTGAGGTTGGGTGGTGGGGCAAAGCAGAGGACTTAGCCTGAAGGAATGGGAGTGGATTCTGTAAGTTACCAGATATTTCTAGATTTCGCACAGGTGCAAAAGTTAACGAAGCTTAACGACACCCATGTGTTTCTGTTCGCCAAATGTTACTGCGGATCTTGATACAGAAAATGGTCGTTTGCCACCATGTTTGTGACTTAGAAATCAGATTTGCAACCACATCGCCCAGAATATTTCGTGCGAAGTCGCACGTCCGTCAGTTCTTCACCGCTATGCTGAATTCCGCACAACTCTAGCTTGCTCGTGTGTCCTTGTTCGAAAAGGTCTCTCACGCGCCTAGGAGAACTGCGACCGACATAGAGCAGCTTTCGTTTTAGTATCTGCAGGTTTGGGAGGTTTTTGAACCTTTCAAAACAATTTTGTACTTGCCTAGCGGTTGCTGCCTCCACGCGCCTCGTCCTCGTTTCAACCCTTTCCGAAATCGTGCCTCTTCCCTCGCGCCTAAGGTTGAGAGCAACTTAACTAGATATTATCGCGTATCAATCACGCTCGTGGTTGATGTCCCTTACGTCGTGCTGCGACACAGCTCGGGCCGTCCGTCGAGGCCTCGGTCGCACAACGCCTAATAACATGTCGCAGTCGTGAAACAACATAGTCGGCGAAAGCTCAGTCTGAGAGCTGTTTTCGGCCATCGACCTGTTTCGCCCGGTTCCGCGATGAGCGCGAAGAAAGTCGGGCAGGCGGTGCAGGCGGACTGGGACAACCGCGAGTTCGTGGAGTCGCTGCGACTCAATATCCATCGCATCTACACCTTCGTCAACGACTTTGGTAACGTGTCGTCCCTTGTTTTTGTTTTCGACCCATTTACTTGCGTTAAACAGACCCCGGCGACCGTTTCGCTGAGGTGTATTCCATGGCACGCCATGGATATGAGTTGGTACGGTCAAGTCTCCTCATTTCAAATTCGCTGCATGGCTGCATTTTCCGTCGCTAGTCTTCTGTGCATTCCGAGGGCCTTCTGGGTCCATTTCCCTTTTCGCTTACAACCTAGAGGAGGGGGTGTGCGTGAGGTTCAATCCATCAGCGGCCAATTTTTGGGAACTCAGGTTCGGTAGCCGCCAACCTGCCTAGAGCAGCACGCCCCCACCTGCCGTGATCAAGCCATTTTTGTTGAAATGGTACCTGCCAAATTGTCATTCCTCTTCTTCAGAAGACGCAGGTCACACAGCTTCCAACCCCACCACATCTCGCATTGCTCTGAACTCCCTATCTTGCACCTGTCCTCACCTCCTTTGCCCCGTCCCCAACCGCTTATAGCCGTTCGACGAGAGTGTCAAGGGCTGGCTGGCAGCGCTTTGAGCAGCATGGAACGCCAGCTGGCGGATATGGTAACAGCTGGCAGATATGGTGACAGCTAGCAGATATGGTGACAGCTAGCAGATATGGTAACAGCTGGCAGATATGGTGACAGCTAGCAGATATGGTGACAGCTAGCAGATATGGTGACAGCTAGCAGATATGGTGACAGCTAGCAGATATGGTGACAGCTAGCAGATATGGTGACAGCTAGCAGATATGGTGACAGCTAGCAGATATGGTGACAGCTAGCAGATATGGTGACAGCTAGCAGATATGGTGACAGCTAGCAGATATGGTGACAGCTAGCAGATATGGTGACAGCTAGCAGATATGGTGACAGCTAGCAGATATGGTGACAGCTAGCAGATATGGTGACAGCTAGCAGATATGGTAACAGATAGCAGATATGGTGACAGCTAGCAGATATGGTGACAGCTAGCAGATATGGTGACAGCTAGCAGATATGGTGACAGCTAGCAGATATGGTGACAGCTAGCAGATATGGTGACAGCTAGCAGATATGGTAACAGCTGGCAGATATGGTGACAGCTAGCAGATATGGTGACAGCTAGCAGATATGGTGACAGCTAGCAGATATGGTGACAGCTAGCAGATATGGTGACAGCTAGCAGATATGGTGACAGCTAGCAGATATGGTGACAGCTAGCAGATATGGTGACAGCTAGCAGATATGGTGACAGCTAGCAGATATGGTGACAGCTAGCAGATATGGTGACAGCTAGCAGATATGGTGACAGCTAGCAGATATGGTGACAGCTAGCAGATATGGTGACAGCTAGCAGATATGGTGACAGCTAGCAGATATGGTGACAGCTAGCAGATATGGTGACAGCTAGCAGATATGGTGACAGCTAGCAGATATGGTGACAGCTAGCAGATATGGTGACAGCTAGCAGATATGGTGACAGCTAGCAGATATGGTGACAGCTAGCAGATATGGTGACAGCTAGCAGATATGGTGACAGCTAGCAGATATGGTGACAGCTAGCAGATATGGTGACAGCTAGCAGATATGGTGACAGCTAGCAGATATGGTGACAGCTAGCAGATATGGTGACAGCTAGCAGATATGGTGACAGCTAGCAGATATGGTGACAGCTAGCAGATATGGTGACAGCTAGCAGATATGGTGACAGCTAGCAGATATGGTGACAGCTAGCAGATATGGTGACAGCTAGCAGATAGGGTAACAGCTGGCAGATATGGTGACAGCTAGCAGATATGGTGACAGCTAGCAGATATGGTGACAGCTAGCAGATATGGTGACAGCTAGCAGATATGGTGACAGCTAGCAGATATGGTGACAGCTAGCAGATATGGTGACAGCTAGCAGATATGGTGACAGCTAGCAGATATGGTGACAGCTAGCAGATATGGTGACAGCTAGCAGATATGGTGACAGCTAGCAGATATGGTAACAGCTGGCAGATATGGTGACAGCTAGCAGATATGGTGACAGCTAGCAGATATGGTGACAGCTAGCAGATATGGTGACAGCTAGCAGATATGGTGACAGCTAGCAGATATGGTGACAGCTAGCAGATATGGTGACAGCTAGCAGATATGGTGACAGCTAGCAGATATGGTGACAGCTAGCAGATATGGTGACAGCTAGCAGATATGGTGACAGCTAGCAGATATGGTGACAGCTAGCAGATATGGTGACAGCTAGCAGATATGGTGACAGCTAGCAGATATGGTGACAGCTAGCAGATATGGTGACAGCTAGCAGATATGGTGACAGCTAGCAGATATGGTGACAGCTAGCAGATATGGTGACAGCTAGCAGATATGGTGACAGCTAGCAGATATGGTGACAGCTAGCAGATATGGTGACAGCTAGCAGATATGGTGACAGCTAGCAGATATGGTGACAGCTAGCAGATATGGTGACAGCTAGCAGATATGGTGACAGCTAGCAGATATGGTGACAGCTAGCAGATATGGTGACAGCTAGCAGATATGGTGACAGCTAGCAGATATGGTGACAGCTAGCAGATATGGTGACAGCTAGCAGATATGGTGACAGCTAGCAGATATGGTGACAGCTAGCAGATATGGTGACAGCTAGCAGATATGGTGACAGCTAGCAGATATGGTGACAGCTAGCAGATATGGTGACAGCTAGCAGATATGGTGACAGCTAGCAGATATGGTGACAGCTAGCAGATATGGTGACAGCTAGCAGATATGGTGACAGCTAGCAGATATGGTGACAGCTAGCAGATATGGTGACAGCTAGCAGATATGGTGACAGCTAGCAGATATGGTGACAGCTAGCAGATATGGTGACAGCTAGCAGATATGGTGACAGCTAGCAGATATGGTGACAGCTAGCAGATATGGTGACAGCTAGCAGATATGGTGACAGCTAGCAGATATGGTGACAGCTAGCAGATATGGTGACAGCTAGCAGATATGGTGACAGCTAGCAGATATGGTGACAGCTAGCAGATATGGTGACAGCTAGCAGATATGGTGACAGCTAGCAGATATGGTGACAGCTAGCAGATATGGTGACAGCTAGCAGATATGGTGACAGCTAGCAGATATGGTGACAGCTAGCAGATATGGTGACAGCTAGCAGATATGGTGACAGCTAGCAGATATGGTGACAGCTAGCAGATATGGTGACAGCTAGCAGATATGGTGACAGCTAGCAGATATGGTGACAGCTAGCAGATATGGTGACAGCTAGCAGATATGGTGACAGCTAGCAGATATGGTGACAGCTTGCAGCTAAGTTGCAGAAGATGCTCAGGGCGTCTTGTGTCCTGCGTCCACACGCAGCGTCTGGACGCAGGATGCAGGACGCCCACGAAGACGCAAGACGCAAGGGGGGGAAATTTTTGGGCAGGCCGGAAAAAAAAATTGGGTTGAAAAAATCAAGACCTAACAAGAAATTGCCTCAAATGTTAGCTACGTCCATATCCCCCCCCTCCCCATGCTCCACAGAAGTTTTTGTGGGCTGTCCATACTTCTTCTTGCCTGTCCGGGCTTGCGTCTAACCCAGCGTCGAATCAGCCCTAGATGCGCGTCTAACGTCTTAGACGCTGCATCTAGACGCCAGCGTCTAAGACGCTAGTCGTGTCTTCCGCAACTTGGCAGGCATGGTGAAGTCTCTGCTGGTGTTCGAAAATCTAACCTCCTTTTGTATTCCTCTTTTCTTCTAAATCCACCACCCATGTCGCTCTGCTTTATCCTGCTCTATCGGAGGCTAGTGCCAAGGGCCAGCTGGCAGCTGGCATTTCTGGAAGCTGAAGTCTCTGCTGGTGAAAGCTGGCATTTCTGGAAGCTGAAGTCTCTGCTGGTGTTCGAAGATCTAACCTCCTTTTGTATTCCCCTTTCCTTAATCCACCACCCATGTCGCTCTGCTCTTATCCTGCTCTATCAGAGGCTAGTGCCAAGGGCCGGCTGGCAGCTCTGAATAGCAAACTGACCTCACTGGAACGACAGCTGACCTACTTGGAAGCTCAGGTGCTCTCTGCTGGTGGGGCAGGCGGGAGTGTTGGGGCGGGTGAACCTTCTGGATCTGGTGGGATTCCAGGGACAGGTGAAAGTTCAGGGTCGGGTGGTAGAGTTGAGTCAGGGGCAGGTAGTGAAGGAAGCCATGGAGATGCTGCAGCAGGGTCAGTGGCAAGGGGGGATTGATTTAAGAAAAGGGGTTAATGAATTGAAATGTGGAAGTGTTACGGGTATGTACTCGTTCAATCTTCAACCGGTGATTTTTAGCCTCACTTTTGGTTTTCAGGTAACATATATTTATACAGCTTAGACGATTTGGTATTAAACCTAGTACTTGCAGCCAAACGCGTACATCCGTTTTAGTCCGCTCCCAACAGCGCTTCTTGCTTGTGCTGATTGTTGGCGAGTCATGGCGAAACACGTAACCATTTGCTCGCGTTTGCGACAGTGAGCATCCTGTGCCGGGCCTGATCTGGTCATTCGGCCGCCAGCAGCAGCAGCAGAGCTAAGAGCGAAGTAGAAGCGCCAACTGCGCTCTTAGGTAGGACGACGGTATGTTTCACTGATGTGTTTTCTTAGGCTGAAATCCCCCTGACGTTTTTCCAGCCACTCCTCCGAACTTTGGAGTCGAACCCCCCCGCGGCTTCCAGACTTCTGTCGCCAACGTTCGTGCTTTGCCCCTGGGGTCGAGTCGCTCTCACGGGCTTAGCAGCTTTGCATTGTCATAAATCACTCTCGCGTTTCACGACGAATTTGAGCTCAGAGGCGCCTCGGGGCTTGCATCAAGTGTGATTTGTCTACCAGTTTCGTAGCACAACCAGCCGGCGGCATGGACGAAGGCCGGAGGCTAGCTCCGCCGGGAAGCGTTGCTCCGCCGGATGAGCGTGTTATTCCCGCGTCGCGGAGACCGGACGGAACAATGCGGAAAGAGATTCGTGTGCGCGCAGGATATGTTGCGCAGGAGGAGGTGGCGACTTACGTAGCCCGAGGATCACGTGTAGGTCCAGTCATCCTCACCTTATTTTGGGCAATTCTTGTTGGGACGGACCGCGCGGACTGTGTATTAGTGTCTGCGTGCAGATTACCACTTCTTATGGCGTTGTCTGGCGTCTCGTCGATTGTGAACTCATTCCCTGTATCTAATTCAATTAGAAGCATCTTGTTATTAGAGTTTCATTAAGGGGTTGCATTGCGAGGCTGTAGCTCGCATCTCAGCTCAATCCCGATTCTTTTGTCCATGGAATCTGCTGCGTGTTTTCGATTGTATTGCAGCCCAAGGGTAGTGGCCCAGAGCTTCCTCCCGGTATGGACCCAGAACTGGCTGCGGAGATGCAAAAGAAAAAAGCAGCTGCAGCAAAGAAGAAGAAAAAAGCCCAGGTGAGTGGAACGGGGCTGTTGACGAGGATGATGTTTTGCTTCAAGAAGGCAAGGTCTGGCTGAACCTGTACAGTATTGCTCAAATCGAATCACAATGTTCCGTTTCCCAAGGGCATGCCATGCTCTACATTGTGCACACATATAAATTCACCCTTGCTCCCTCACTATTTCTAGGGAGCTGGAGGAGGTGCCAGTTCGGCTGCTGGTGCCTCCAACAGGAGAAGCTCAGTCCAACAAGAAGCTAACAGTCAGCTTGCAGAGGCTATGGATGAGCTCACTGTTTCCGGAGCAGATAAGCATGGAGGGGGTGCAAGTAGCAGAGCAGACTCAACTCAGTCTGGATCGGATGGCTCAGTTGGTGGTAAAGCTGAGATTGAAAAGAAGATACGTGCCCTGAAAAAGAAGGTATGGCAGCTGTGCAATTTTTGTTCTTCTGTGGTTGCCTCGTAGAGTCTTCTCAGGTATGTGGCATCTCTCATGAGCACCTGGTGCTTGCGGTGTTTTGTCCATATGCTCCATGGGTTTCACTCATGGGTTTCACTCACTTTCACCATTGTCCTGTTGTTATCAGATCCGCCAGGCAGAAGCACTGGAATCAGCTGAAAATCTGTCTCCTGAGCAAGTGGAGAAGCTTAAAAAGCTTTCGGATTGGCGCTCAGAGGTTGAAGCAATGGAGCAACAGTTAGCCAGCATGTAGCATACAAGCGATAATTTACTGAACAAGTTCTCATGTCAGTGCCAAGGGTTACGAGCATGGTTAAAACTTATGCAGTTTTTTTACTACCATATCGACCATTTTACGACCAGTAAGAGCATCCATGTGCTGCCTCGCATAAATATGTTGTCATGACCAGAGTTAGCAGACAATAGTTGTGTTGATGAGCCGTGAATCACCTTTGGCCAAATCGTGCACCCATTCGTGATGGGGGCCTCTGGAGTGCCGGAGAAAGAAGCAAATTTCGCAAAGCATTGTCTTTATTCCCTTGGTTCGAGGGGGTTGAGAAGAACCCTTGTGCATCATTCCCTTCAAATGAAGGCTCAGGACGGCTGAACGGGCGTCCACCTGATGCCGGACTGTCAACCCCACGGCCATGTGTAGGTGCAGGGAGGCCAGGAATGTGAAACGGACCTGCAACAAAACCACTGAGGTCAGAGATCTCCAGATAACGGTAATTTTGCATAGGAATGAATGTTCACCTTGGTTCTGCCGCTTTCTCCCAAGTTCCATACTGTCAGGTGTAGGAACATATGCAGCTTGCGCTCGCATTCGAGCGGTTGAAGGTCGTGCTGAGCCTGGCGCTCCTTGCTTGAGGGACTCATACTCACCCCTCAGCGACTCATACATCTCTTCAAGCTTTCGTTTCTGGCTGCAAAACCACAGCTTTATCTGCTGCTGCTTGAAAGAAGCAAGGTAACGTGATGTGAGACGCGAGACTCACTGGTCTTACCGTGCCTTTTCTGCATATTTCTGCTGGAGTTCCGAAACATCCTTTGCCATGTTCTCTTTCTCCTTTTGCAACACCTGGTTTTGCTTGAGAGACTTCTGTAGCGCCCCATGGACTTGTTCCATTTTCGCCATGAACCTGCAATACATACAATTGCGACTTAGTCCAGGAAGTGAGATATTGAATTTACACAAAATGCACCCCGTACTTCTCTTGCATTTGTTTCAGCATCTGCTTTGACTGTTCTGCTGCCTGTAGAGCCATCTGATTTTCAACTTCCATTTGGCCAATATAAAAGCTGATGCCCCTGAAGGCGCATTTCATTACTGAAAGCGCCAACCGCATGATGGTCGATTAGAAAGTGGACGCCAACAAAGCAGTATTGCTTAAGGATACTTACTTGATCCTGGAGGGGGCCCAGCAAGCAACATCTGCAGACAAAAACGGCGATTAATTAGATTCAAAGTAGGCCACTCCTGAGCAGAAAAAATTTGCAAGAGGGTTACGGTAGCCGTTGTGTCGTCGATGCTTGTCGTGATAGCCTTCATGTTCCTGGTTCATTAGAAGGCATTATTCGTCGGTTCATCTCACTCCTAACAACATGACGAAATATCATTGTCTGACCCTTTCGACAGTATTTTCTCGCATCTCGGACATGTTGAATCCGTTGATATGATCTTTTTGGCATCGTCCAGGCCTGGCAGAAAATCGCCGTAAGGAGCGTCAGTCACCTGTGCAATAAGAAGACATCGAGGAAAAACGAGTACTAATCTCACAAAACACATGTCCGCAATGCGTTGCTATAGCTTGCCCCTCAATATCGGCCCAGCAAGCGTTGCATTTCATGACTGAAGTCGAGAAATCATGCACTGAATCGTAGGGTGGAATCACTCTCGCCTCGAAGCTTGTTCCTGATGAAGCTGGACAAGAATTGTTGTCGGCCTCAACGGGCGTGGCCCCCACCTCAACGACACGAAACGAAACTCGATACAAGCGTATCATCCAGACACTGCTGTATTAAAATGTATACAGAGATAAACAATATTAAATCAAGTTTCTCGCACATTCATCTCTCTAATTGCGCGTTCTGGTTGTTTGGATGAGCAAACTGAAGGATAAAAATACAAATAAATACTTCAAATGTTTTTAGCTGGTTGGATGAGGTGTAACAAAGAGGATCCTAAATAGACATTCGTTTTCAGCAAACTTTACCATACGATCAATATATAACCTTGAAATCAACCAACCCAGTTCATTTCACTTATCGCTTTCCCACCAATTTATCCTTCCAGTCTCAATGTGTTCGACCTCTTTCATTCATTTATAAATCACAATTGTGTATTTCAATGTATTTCCCTTACTCGTCTACAGAGAGACACCCTTGGGAATGCAACACCTTGGGTTCGCTTCGATTTTTGCCACACCACTTCACCTTGACGAGCGGTATCATCAAGGATTCAAGCAAGGGGGGGGAAGGAACAGAAAACAGATTCGAGGGATCAGACCGCTGCAGATCCCACTGGCAGCTCAAATGGAGCGGTCCTTGTCCCGGTCATAGCGACCATAGTCTGCACACTCGCGTGCCATGGCAGGCGAGGCGATGCAGACCTTTCGCGTGGGTGCGCACGTGTGGGTGCCTGACCCTGAGCTCGCGTGGGAGGAGGGGTGCGTGGTGGAGGACCTGGGGGAAGGCAAACTGGCCGTGAAAATCGATAACCCCGCCAAGCCGGACGTAAGGCGACTGTTTCGCACTGTTGCTGGTTTTACTTCGCGTGATGCGTCGCGAGCGGACCGGATTCCTGACTTAGGACGCGTTTCGCGAAGATCATCCGCTTCAGGATTGACTATATGAATTCATGATCCGTAGTGGCCTGACGCGTTCTTGATACGACCCGTAGTGGCCAGACGCGTTCTTGATACGACCCGTAGTGACCTGACGCGTTCTTGATACGACCCGTAGTGGCCTGACGCGTTCTTGATGCGACCCGTAGTGGCCTGACGCGTTCTTGATGCGACCCGTAGTGGCCTGACGCGTCCCCCGCTCTGTAGCGATGTCCGTATGAACCCCAACGTAATGCAATCAGAGCAATGATTTCGTCCGTTTATTAAAACTCTCGTTCCCACAGCGCTGCTTTCCTCTCGCTTCTTCTCCCGAACTCCCCCCTTACCGACTCCTTTCCTTCATCCTGCTTCCATTCTCATCGTCTCTACGCATTCATCCGCGGCAAATTCGTCCCCTATAGCCGTCCTCATTCCCATCACCCGTCCCCGCTCTGCACGGCAGTTATGGGAGGTGCACACGTCGATGTGGCAAATTCATCCCGTGCTCTCACACTTATTCCCATTGATCGCCCTGCTCTAATCCCCTCTTCCGGTGCAGCTATGGGTGGTGCACGCGTCGCCGTGCTGCATGCACGAGCCAGAGGGCCCTCTGCTGGACCCAAGCGGTTGCAACCAATTATGCCCTCCTCCCCTCCCCTCTGCTCACGCTCACACCCTTCCCCCTGCTCTTCCCCCATTGACAGTTATGGGAGGTGCACGCGTCGCTGTGCTGCATGCGCGAGCCAGACGGCCCACTGCTGGACGACATGGTTCGTCTCACGTGCCTGCACGAGCCTGGCGTGCTCTCCAACCTCTGCCGCCGCTACCGCGCCAACCTCATCTATGTGCGCGCTCTCACGCTCACCCTCCCCCTTTCTCTCTCTCGCTTGCACGCTGCTGCACGCCCACTGCTGACCCCTTTTTACTCACCTCCAACCTATCCGCGTTACCGTCTTCACTGCAAGCTGCCTGCCATCCTGACGCGCAATCCATAACACTCTCATTGCGTCTCAGTCATTCCCCCTTTCCCTCTCACACCATCTCCCAGCCCCTCCCTGTGTCAACACCCTCGCTTTCACCTTTCCTCGCTCCTCCCATCCTCCACCCCGTCCCTTCCCCTCCAGACATACACGGGGTCTATATTGATAGCGCTGAACCCGTTTGTGCGCATCCCTGGGCTGTACGACACAGCCATGATGCGCCAGTACCATGGCGTGCCCCTCGGCCTGCTCTCACCTCACGTCTTCGCCACTGCAGAGAACGCCTTCCGGTATGCATGGGGCGTGCATGCGTGTGCTTCCCTGCCTCATTCACGGACCCCTCCCAGTACCATGGCGTGCCCCTCGGCCTGCTTTCACCGCATGTCTTCGCCACTGCAGAGAACGCCTTCCAGTATGCATGGGGCGTGCATGCGTGTGCTTCCGTGCCTCATTCGCGTTCCCCCTCCCAATACCATGGGATGCCCCTCGGACTGCTCTCACCTCACGTCTTTGCCACTGCCGAGAACGCGTTCGGTGCACATGGGGCATGGATGCGTGTGCTGCCCCATCCACGTCCTTCCTCTCAGTATCACCATGATCCCTTGCAGCAACACTGGCAACAGAGCCAGAGATAACCCTGATACATACCCATCACTTGACGAGCCATGCCATGTATCGTTTACACCCCCACTGCCCATGCTCACTCACAGGACCATGAAGGAGGGGGGACGCAGCCAGGCGATTTTGATAAGTGGGGAGTGCGGAGCAGGCAAGAAAGAGACCACGAAGCTAATCATAGAGTACCTCGCCCGCGCTGCTGCTCACACCCACTCCGTCTCCCTCCCCTATTCCCCCACCACTGTCTTCCCCACTGCCCGTGCGCATGCACAGGGCCATGAAGGAGGGGGGTCGCAGCCAGGCGATTCTGATAAGTGGGGAGAGCGGAGCAGGCAAGACAGAGACCACGAAGCTAATCATAGAGTACCTCGCCCGCGCTGCTGCTCACAATGACCCTGCCTCGCTGCCATCCCCCACCACTGTCCTCCCCACTGCCTCCTCCTCCCTCCCCGCCCTGCACATCCACCCGCCCGGTTCCCCCTCTGCCTCTCCGAGCATAGAGTCCCTTGTTCTTCAGGTAGGTTTGTTTTTCTGCTATGTGGTGGATGGTGACCATAGGCTAGTTGGGTCATATGATGCTAGAGTAAATGTTACAGCGAGATACAGGACGTTGTAAAGAGACCTGTTACATACCTTTTTTCTTTTGGGTTTTGTTGTTGTGGGCATTTTATGTAAATTCGATTTACCCCACCTGCCTCACATCTGCTGATATGCGCAGGCCAATCCACTTCTGGAGGCCTTTGGAAACGCCAAGACTCTCAGAAACAACAACTCAAGGTGCCCATGCAATTGCCACTGCCCACTCGCCTCACTGCCCACTCGCCTCACTGCCCGCTCGCCTCACTGCCCACTCGCCTCACTGCCCGCTCGCCTCACTGCCCACTCGCCTCACTGCCCACTCGCCTCACTGCCCATTCGCCTCACTGCCCACTCGCCTCTTTCTCTTAACAAGCCACTCATTGTAACCACGATTGTCCCTTCTCTTGCCATTGTTGCGTGCTTCTTCGTCCCCACTATGCACCAGGGGATTGGTAAGTCATGGCAGCCGCTTTGGCAAGTTCGTCTAGCTGCAATGCAGCCAGGGGGTTCGTGGGTCGACTTAAAAATCCCCTTACCTTTGCTGCCCTGTACCATTGCCACGACAGTACATGCCCACTATGCACCAGTAGCCGCTGCTTTGGCAAGTTCATTGTGCTGCAGTTTGGACGGTGGGAGTGGGGAAGAGGGGAGGGCAAAGGGGGCCGAGCTTAAGGGCAAACTTTGAGATCATCCGAAAGTCACCTTATCATTGCCACTCTGCGTGCTGTGCGCAGCGCACTACCCACCACCGCAGCCGCTTTGGAAAGTTTATAGAGTAGCTTGTGGGGGGGTGGGGGCGGGCTGACGGGAGGGGTGGGCTGGACTGGGGGTGAATCGAGCTGAAAACCCCGCTTACCATTGCCACTGTGTGCCCGATACCCACCACTCGCAGCCGCTTTGGCAAGCTCATAGCGTTGCAGTTCGGGCAGGGCAGAGGGGTGGGCGCAGGGGGTGAATCTTGCTGAAAACCCCTCTTACCATTTGTGTGTGTGCCCGCTGCCCACCACCACCGCAGCCGCTTTGGCAAGTTCATCGAGCTGCATTTTGGGCGCGGGGGTGGGCTGACGGGGCAGGGGGGAGGGGAGAGCTCAGCTGGGGGGGTGAATCTTGCTGAAAACTTCCCTTCTCCCCTTACCATTGCCACTGTGTGCCCACTACCCACCACTGGCAGCCGCTTTGGCAAGTTTATCGAGCTGCAGTTCGGGCGTGGGGGCGGGCTGACGGGGGCAGCGGTGCGCACGTACCTGCTGGAGCGGTCGCGCGTGGTGCACATTGCAGACTGCGAGCGCAACTACCACATCTTCTACCAGATGTGCCAGGGGTTGTCGAATGAGGTGAGTGAGGCATGTTCCATAAGGTGCGAGAATAAAGCCTAGTGGGTGTGACCAAGGATGCACATGTGTCGTCATGTCATCCAGTCGGATCCTCTCACCAAACCCCCTCTCCCCTCTCCGTACTGCACTTTTTCTACCCATGGCCTGCCTGCCTGCCCTGTCACATTTGTCTTCTAGTGATGCCTCCCACCTTCTATCCGTGCTCATCCAATCCCTTCCATCCGTAGCCCTCTTCAACTCCCTCCGATCGCTCCCCTTTTCTTCCACCCCATCTCATCACCCATGAAGCAAGTGTGCTGCTGCTCTCAAATCCCAGCACGGGTATTGAGGCAAGGCACCTCGGGAACCATGTCCTCCCAATCCACCTCATCCCATGATGCTGCAGGAAGCAGCAGAGGCTCTGCAGCTGCCTCCAAACCATCAACTCCATCCACTATTTCAACTTGGCCTGCTTTTGAGAGAACTCGCAAAAGTGGTTCGTTTAACCTTGTTCCTGCAGTTGCTCGTTCCTTCCGAACCCCGCAATTCCACCATCCCACCCCATGACACAGGAAGCACACGAGCGCACCACTTTCGCTACCTCAACCAGAGCACCTGCTTCCGCCCTTGCCTTCACATTCCACCATGCAGGAAGCAGCAGCCTTACAGCTGCCTCCAGACCCCAGCACGCGAGCGCACCACTTCCACTACCTCAACCAGAGCACCTGCTTCCACCTGCCTGTCTACTCATGCCTCCCTCCTTCTCCCTGCTCCAACTAACCTCATCCCACCCACCACATGACACAGGAAGCAGCAGCCCTACAGCTGCCTCCAGACCCCAGCACGAGAGCGCACCACTTCCACTACCTCAACCAGAGCACCTGCTTCCACCTGCCTGGCCGTGCCTCTGACGCCGATGAGTTTGCCGCCACCATGTCAGCCATGAGGGCTGTTGGCATCACTGCGCAGCAGCAGGTGGGTGGGTGTGTGGGGTGTAAGTGAGAAGGGGGAGGGGGGTGAGGGAACGGTGTTAAGTTGAACCAGATGTTGTTGGTTGGGCTGGACGGGTGAGTGAGTGTGATTTGAAAGAGCTTGGGGTTCAAGGCATTAGAGTTGGTCTAATATTTGCAACTCTTGCGTCTCTCTTTCCCTTCCTCTCCCCCCCTGCTCCAACCCTCCCAAAATGTCCCGTCCACCAGGATTCAATTCTTAAATTACTGGCAGCCATCCTCCATATAGGCAACTTCACGTTTGAACAGAAGGACTCTGACTTGGTGCTGGCAGTGCCTCATGCAGAGGCGCACCTGGGTGCCGCCGCTGACCTGCTCAGGTGTGTTCTCAGCCGCTCAGGTGTCTTGTTGAGGCCTCCTCAGGTGTGTTCCCAGTTGCTCCGGTGTACTGTTTTTTTTTTTTTTTTTTTTTTTTTTTTTTTAATTGGTAAAAGTACACCGAAGAGCAAGCGTACAATGCCAAGAACGGTCGTAACCGTGCGTGAGAAGTAGAGTCAAGCCCCTACCCCAAACGAGACCCACTAGGGCGCGTTGGATCCCGCCCTCCGAGATGACCACAGTGCCCCGAACGCGCTTGTCCACTTCAAACCGATGCCATCCTGTGTAATCCTAAGAAGCATGTTCTGCTCCTTCACAGAATTGCAACGCAAATGCTTGCGCCGCGCCGAGCCAAACTTCCAAGTGTAGATCCTTGCATGATGCCTGAAAGCGAATGCAATCTTCCATAAAACCCGCTGCGTCCGGAACTTGCCGCCACGAAACACCGCCTCACACCGTTCTAGCCACAGCTGATGGAAGGTGATGGCCGTGAGGGTCAGCTCCGGGAATGCTGAGCTGGTGCCAGTTTTCCGGAACAGGAGATCACCCAACGTGTCAATCGTACGGCCGGGATTCAACATGCACAACGCACGCCTGAGAGCCGAGGTACTGTTGACCTCCTTAAAGCAACCGTATAATTGGTGTGGTGGGAGCCAAATGTTTGGAATTTGGCAAGAGTGCTTTCAGGTTTCGGCATTTCGCAGGCCTACATCGCACCGTGTTTTTTTTGTTTTGTTTTGTTTTGTTTTGTTTTTGTCCTAAAGAATTGGTTTCGCCAAACCCCAAACTCCCTAAACCCGCCAAATGTATGCGGCCGCTTCAACTGTGTGACCTCCGACATGCCCAGAAACTGCACCTCAGCAGACCTCCTGAAAAGTGTTCGGATCTGCCAATCCAGTCCGTCCGCCCCATTCACCCCATTCTCCACCCCCCCTGTACCTTGTGTCCGAATCAGCGTTAACAGGCTGGTAGGGATTGAGTTTGCGGATGGTGGTCGAAGGTGAGTGGCAGTGGAGAGGAGCTTGCCCCTTTCCTCCCATGCTAGTATGCTACCCCCTCCCCCTCCCCTCAGAGTGGACAAGGAGGCGATGCGAGAGAGCATCACGGTGGAGACCAGGCGGGTGGGCACAGAGATTGCTCCTTATCCCCGAACCACCGTGCCTCCCCTCCCGGCCCTTTCCCCTCACCACATTCAGAGTGGACAAGGAGGCGATGCGAGAGAGCATCACGGTGGTGACCAGGCGGGTGGGGCTGGAGAGGGATTGCTCCATATTCCCAATCCACCGTGCCTCCCTTCCCTTCTTTCCCCTCCCTGTGCCCCCTCCCCACCCTGGCTGTCAGAGTGGACAAGGAGGCCATGCGAGAGAGCATCACAGTGGCGATGAGGCGGGTGGGGCCGGAGATTGCTCCTTATCCCCAATCCCCGCCGTGCCTCTCCGCCCGCCTTCCCCCTCTTTCCCCACACGACATTCAGAGTGGACAAGGAAGCCATGCGAGAGAGCATTACGGTGGTGACGAGGCGGGTGGGCCCGGAGGTCATTCGCAGCCCAGCGGACGACCGCACCGCCTGCTTGCGCCGCGATGCCCTCGCCAAGGCACTCTACTCACGTGTCTTCGACTGGTGGGTCTTTTCCTCTTTCTCCTTAAGTGTGTCTTGTGTGAGCCAAATCGACGCCTGCGCTGTCTGCCTGTGTTGGCTGCAAAGTGCCTCGCACGCGCGTCTTTGACTAGTGGGTCTCTCGAAGGCTTAGTGTGTATCGACTCAATACCCACACTGCCTGTGCGCGTCTTTCACTGGTGGGTCCCTCCCCTTATTTGCTCTTGTTGTCACCTCGTGGGAGCCGACTTGACGGCTACACCATGCGAGCCAACTCGATGGCTGCACCACCTGCGTGCGGGCTGGTGGGCTGGTGGAAGTGCATCATTACGTGCAGCACTTAACGTAAGGCAGCTAGCAAGGTCCAACCATTCTCCTCTTCTCTTCCCTCTCCCACACTGCAAGCCTCCTGTGCAGGCTGGTGGAGCGAATCAACGAGTCGATCCAGCAGACAGGTTTGGTGGAGGAGGGCCGGTGCATCGGCGTGCTGGACATTTACGGCTTCGAGCACTTTGAGGTCAACAGGTGAGTTGAAGCGTCATGTACGGCTTTCAGGTGGCTGACTGAGTGGCTGCCTGCCCTGTCTGTAGGGAGAAGAGAACCATGCGTAGAGTAGAGGTTGACGATGCCTTGTTAAGAGGTTCAAAGAGTGTTTCGTATGGCAGCAAGGTCTAAAACATTTGACACATTAAGATCGTCTGGGCTGTGCCTTCTATTACCCTCTCACATATTCTTCTGTTGCTTCTCTCCCCTCCTTGTGCCTCCTTGAATGCTCCCCCATCCCTTCCTCTCCCCTCCCCGCATGCTCCAGCTTTGAGCAGCTGTGTATCAACTTAGCCAATGAGAAGCTGCAGCAACACTTCAACCAGGTACCAAGAGGATTACACTAGCACTATGTCTGAACAGTATTATCCAGTACGGTGTTTTCAGCAGCAAATTTATTAGGTTACAGGAGAATGACGCTTGGGAATGTGTGCAGCAACACCTTTGTGGATAACAAATGGATTACACTGGTGTGCAGCATTTTTTGGAGTGATCAGGGGCCATACATCATATATTTTATCCTGTTAGATTATGCATGTGTGTGTATGGTTCATCTGCTTATCCCTTTGCATATGTGCTGGCGCTTTGTCCTCCATTTTCAAATGCACGTTGCACACTTGATTAATAGAACTCAAAATCAAAATTACACAAAACTGCTGCCACATAGAGCGAGAGCTCCTAAACATGTGCTAGCTCTTTCTCTTCGTTTGCACATTGCACAGTATGCCCACCTTTGCTGCATCTACTCTGTCTCCACCTTTTCACCGTTGCCACTCTTTCCCTTGTCTACCTGTCCTTTTCACCGTTGCCAATCTTTCCCTTGTCTACCTGTCCTTTTCACCGTTGCCACTCTTTCCCTTGTCTACCTGTCCTTTTCACCGTTGCCACTCTTTCCCTTGTCTACCTGTCCTTTTCACCGTTGCCACTCTTTCCCTTGTCTACCTGTCCTTTTCACCGTTGCCACTCTTTCCCTTGTCTACCTGTCCTTTTCACCGTTGCCACTCTTTCCCTTGTCTACCTGTCCTTTTCACTGTTGCCAATCTTTCCCTTGTCTACCTGTCCTTTTCACCGTTGCCAATCTTTCCCTTGTCTACCTGTCCTTTTCACCGTTGCCACTCTTTCCCTTGTCTACCTGTCCTTTTCACACCGTTGCCACTCTTTCCCTTGTCTACCTGTCCTTTTCACCGTTGCCACTCTTTCCCTTGTCTACCTGTCCTTTTCACCGTTGCCACTCTTTCCCTTGTCTACCTGTCCTTTTCACCGTTGCCACTCTTTCCCTTGTCTACCTGTCCTTTTCACCGTTGCCACTCTTTCCCTTGTCTACCTGTCCTTTTGCCTTGTCACGTCCCTGCTCTGTCTATCTCCAACCTCCTTCTTGCAACGCAACCTTCATTATGTTCTGAGGGAGAAGAAGCTCTGAGGGAGAAGAAGCTCTGAGGGAGAAGAAGTTCTGAGGGAGAAGAAGCTCTGAGGGAGAAGAAGCTCTGAGGGAGAAGAAGCTCTGAGGGAGAAGAAGCTCTGAGGGAGAAGAAGCTCTGAGGGAGAAGAAGCTCTGAGGGAGAAGAAGCTCTGAGGGAGAAGAAGTGCACGTGTATCAGCGGGAGTGCGTAACAGTGGAGGGTGATTGCCTTGACTGCGCTTCACCCTCTGCCCTCCCTCGCTCCCATTGTGCCCTTTGTGTCTCCCCTCCAGCACGTGTTGAGGGAGGAGCAGCAGGTGTACGAGCGGGAGGGCATCAAGTGGGACTTCATTGACTTTGAAGACAACAGCGATGTGCTCGACGCCATTGAAGGGTGCGTTGCATTGTTATCATGGGGCGATCTTTTTTCGAGACGTCTCAAAAAACGACGTGTTTTGAGACGTCTCAAAAAACGACGCCATTGAAGGGGTGCGTTGCATTGTTATCATGGGGCGATCTTTTTTCTGCTGCTGCACAAGTCCAGCACATCTGATCTCAGTATCTTTTGACTGATGTGCTCGGCAATCTGTTGCAACCAGACCTTGCTGATGTGCATCGCATCCCCTTGCTTGACTCTGTTTTAAGTTGTCTCAAGAATCTCCTTGCACTCCTCCCAACCGGCCCCTCCTCCCCACACAGGACAAGGGCATCATATCAATGCTTGACTCTGCCTGGTAAGCCACCAAAATCCCACTCCCCCACCATGCTAAGGAGGCATGCCCCCACCAGCGGCTCTCTTGGTTGCAGTGTTTTGTCTTCCTCCTCATGACTTCGCTTTTGTTCATTTTCTGAGTCCGTCTCTCCCGTCTTGCTCCAGTGTCTGTGTGATGCTCCACTCTCATGCCACGTTGCCGAATTGAGTGGAGTATACGTGCTGTATTGACAGCACTTTAGGTGTGGGCTGCATCGCATCGCATGCACAGAGTAATCCCTCTCTTTCTCCAGCGCACTCATCCACATTCACTCCCGGCACGTACATGCACATCCTTGCTGGAATCCAGCCCATATAACACATGCCAACTGTGTTTCCAAGTCGACTTGAAGCACAATCTGCACCTACTGCCTTATTGCCATGTCCACCAGACCCCACAACAACCATTCCCCTGTGATCATCATCATCATCATCATCATCATCATCATCATCATCATCATCATCATCATCATCATCATCATCATCATCATCATCATCATCATCATCATCATCATCATCATCATCATCATCATCATCATCATCATCATCATCATCATCATCATCATCATCATCATCATCATCATCATCATCATCATCATCATCACCCCCATGCGTGCAGCAAGCTGGCGCACATGACGCCAGCCAGCTTGGCTCAGACGCTGCGGCAGTCGCTGGAGGGCAGCAAGCGCTTCACCATGCCACGCGGCCCTGCTGCCACTGACTTCACTCTCTCGCACTACGCAGGCAAGGCAAGGCAAGGCAAGGCAAGGCAAGGCAAGGCAAGGCAAGGCAAGGCAAGGCAAGGCAAGGCATGCCCCCCGCTACTGCTGCTGCTGTTTAGTGCTGCTGCTGTTTAGTGCTGCCCCCACTGCCACCGTCGCCGCTGCTGTTGCTGTTTTCCCTGCTGTTCCATTTTCGCGGCTACGTGTCCTTTCCGTTTTGTTCTCGTTTTTCTTGATAATCTCAAGGTGTCCGACTCTCCAAAAGTTGGGATCGCGAGGGATCGTGCAGCGCCGGTTCACTTCCCAAGCTTTTGGTGTTCCCCCCTTCTTTTAACAGCTCTTCTACACTCTTCCCCCCCCCCCCCTCTTTCCCCTCCCTCCCCCTCGCACCTGTTGCACAGGTGCGCTACTCCCTGCTCGAGTTCATGGCCAAGAACACAGACGTGACCATCCCAGAGCAGCAGCAGCTCCTAGAGCAATCCTCAGACGACCTTCTCGCCGCCCTCTTTGCCCCGCCTCCCACCACCCCCTCCTCCCCCTTTCCACCCACTCCGGGTAGCCCCCTCCCTACCACCCCCGGCAAACCCCCTTTTCCTGGCGCATACTCCTACATAAATGCCGCTGCCACTGCCACAGCCGCTGCTGCAGACCCTGCCAACGCTTCTCCCAGCCCTGCGACTTCTCTCTCAAGCCCGTTCGGCCAGCGCCTCAACGCCTTCAGGAGCCCCTCTGCCAGTGCGGATGCAGGTGTCCCGGGCGGCGTGGGGCGGCGGTTGCTTGGAGGGCCTCAGAGCCCCCTGGGGGATGGGCAGAGCCCAAGAGGAGGGGGGGGGGGAGGGGGAGTGAGGGGCAGTGCGGGAGGGAGAGGAGGAGGGTCACGCGTGACATCTCTGGGCCGCCAGTTCAAGGTGAGACGCTGAGGCCTGAGGGTGGGCTGGTCAACTGATGAGTTGGCGACTCAAGGTGTGCTGTGCGGTGCGGTGCGGTGCGTTGCAGTTGTAGCTTCCAGGCTTTCAGAAGTCTATGTGTCAGGGCTTTGTAAGTGATATTTCTCTGCAAGCCCTTTGTTGCTGCATGCCATAGCCTCTGCTGCTCGCCTCTCCCCTGGCAGCACCACCGATCCTAACAAGTGAAATCATTCCCTTTGGCATGTGCTGCAAACAAGCCTTGTTTTATCACGCCCTTCTCCTCGCCTCACACCTCTTCTGCTTGCTCTGCTGCTCTCCCCACCTTACGCCCCAACACACTGTCCTCACTGCAGCTCCAGCTGGCGCAGCTGATGAATGCTGTCTGCTCAACTCAAAACCCCTCTGCCCTAATCGCCTCAGTAACCCATTGCCTTCTCTCCCCCCAATACTGCTACTCTTTCCCCTGAACCCCACTGTTCTCCCTGCAGCCCCAGCTAGCGCATTCAAAGCGACGGTGCACATTTGCCACCCGAAACCCTAAACCCTGGCGACCAGTTACTGCGGAGGAAAAGTCCCTGCACGAATTCCAGATTTTCGCCAGCCAACACCTTCGCGCTGGCAAGCCTGGTTCAGAACAAAAACTTCTGAACCTCCGCTTGTCAAATCTAGACCCTTGTTTTAATGAAGACACAGTCCGCCATGCAGCCCCACTACGTGCGCTGCATCAATGCCTGCTTTGACCCTCGCTATTCGATGCCCTGCTCAGCTCAAACCCTCCATCCTGCCGCTCTTTCATCCTGCCATCCCCACTGCAGCTCCAGCTAGCGCAGCTGATGAAGACGCTGTCTGCCATGCAGCCGCACTACGTGCGCTGCATCAAGCCAAACGCCGCCAGCTACCCGGCTGTCTTCGACTGGCTCTCCGTGGCCAATCAGCTTCGCTCTGGGGTGAGAGGGGTGTGCAGTGTGGGGTGGGAGTGGTGTGTGGTGTGGGGTGAGGCGTGTGGAGTCTGGGTCTGCATGTAAACATGGATTTGGGATCACGGCTCCTTGATCGACGTCAAAAGCTCATGTTATCATTCGGAGCCGTTTTAATGGAGAGACGAGCTATGGATGGCCGACATCCCCTTCCTCTGGAGTCCCTATTCTCTTGCTGCTGCCCGCTCTCTTTCCTCTCATTCTCTCTCCCCTCTTCTTCTCCTCACACTCTCCTTCCACCCCTCAATCCTGTCCCGTTCCCACTAGGGGGTGGTGGAGGCCATTTGAGTGTGCTCTCCGAGTTCAATATTTTGTACTCGATTTCATATTTTCTTCGATGTCTCTCTCCTCCACCCTTCCTCCTTACTCCTTCCCTCCTAATGACCACCCGTCCCCTTCCCACCAGGGGGTGGTTGAGGCCATTCGAGTGTGCTCTGCTGGCTTCCCATCGCGCCGCCCCTTTGGTGACTTCATTGAACGCTTCGCCCTGCTGCTGCCCCCCGACTCCCCTGCTGCCCTCAAGCTCTCAACGTGAGTGTTTGACCTCCGTATGCCACCCCCCAAAGGACCGAAAGTCCCTGTCGTTACTAGTCAACCACCTTTCGTGTTGGTTCAGAATAGCGGAGATGGGAACCTAGTCCCAGCCCTCCTCCCTCTGCCCTCTGCCCTCCTTCCCTAGCTATATAAGGGCCTCCTGGGCCCTCCTCTTCTCATTGTTTCGAGTTGGTTCAGTGTAGCTTCCTCCGTATCCTAGCTGTACTTCTCTCTCCCCACCAAAGGACCTAAAGTCCCTGTCGTTACCAGTCAACCACCTTCACACACACTGTTCAGTGACTTTCGCGGCGCTGTCCACTCTAGAACCGAAAGTCCTTGTCTTTATCAGCACTTGACTACCTTTATGTGCTCATTCTACTGCGCGCCCCCCTCGTAGCTGCAACAACCATCAGACGCAGCAACTAAATGTGCCTCCCCATGTCCCTCATCCGTTCGTCTCCATGCCCCCCTCTTGTCCAAACATCTTCGTCTGTCAGTCATTTCTTTGTCATGCTGCCGGACATGTCCGTATGCCCTTTCATCCCCATGCCTCTCCTCCTCGGTGCTCCCCATGCCCTTCTCCCGTCCCCATGCCCTTCTCCCGTCCCCATGCCCTTCTCTCCCGTCCCCATGCCCTTCTCCCGTCCCCATGCCCTTCTCCCGTCCCCATGCCCTTCTCCCGTCCCCATGCCCTTCTCCCGTCCCCATGCCCTTCTCCCGTCCCCATGCCCTTCTCCCGTCCCCATGCCCTTCTCCCGTCCCCATGCCCTTCTCCCGTCCCCATGCCCTTCTCCCGTCCCTATGCCCTTCTCCCGTCCCCATGCCCTTCTCCCGTCCCCATGCCCTTCTCCCGTCCCCATGCCCTTCTCCCGTCCCCACGCCCTTCTCCCGTCCCCACGCCCTTCTCCCGTCCCCACGCCCTTCTCCCGTCCCCATGCCCTTCTCCCGTCCCCATGCCCTTCTCCCGTCCCCATGCCCTTCTCCCGTCCCCATGCCCTTCTCCCGTCCCCATGCCCTTCTCCCGTCCCCATGCCCTTCTCCCGTCCCCATGCCCTTCTCCCGTCCCCATGCCCTTCTCCCGTCCCCATGCCCTTCTCCCGTCCCCATGCCCTTCTCCCGTCCCCATGCCCTTCTCCCGTCCCCATGCCCTTCTCCCGTCCCCATGCCCTTCTCCCGTCCCCACGCCCTTCTCCCGTCCCCACGCCCTTCTCCCGTCCCCACGCCCTTCTCCCGTCCCCACGCCCTTCTCCCGTCCCCATGCCCTTCTCCCGTCCCCATGCCCTTCTCCCGTCCCCATGCCCTTCTCCCGTCCCCATGCCCTTCTCCCGTCCCCATGCCCTTCTCCCGTCCCCACGCCCTTCTCCCGTCCCCACGCCCTTCTCCCGTCCCCACGCCCTTCTCCCGTCCCCATGCCCTTCTCCCGTCCCCACCCCCTTCTCCTCCCACTCCCATTGCCTCTCACCATCCCATGGCAGGGCATCGGAGCCTGACATTGTGAAGCTCATTCTCAGTAATGCCAATCTCACAGGCTGGCAGGTGAGAGTGACTGGTTGGCAGGTGAGTGTGACGGGCTGGCAGGGGTGTGACAGGCTGGCAGGTGAGTGTGACTGGCTGGCAGGTGAGTGTGACAGGCTGGCACGTGAGTGTGACAGGCTGGAAGGCGAGTGTGACAGGCTGGCACGTGAGTGTGACAGGCTGGAAGGTGAGTGTGACAGGCTGGCAGTATTGTTGGGGCCGTAAAAGCCAGGACCATGGTGGCAACTGGATGGTGAGTCGTGACCTTTGGTGCGATTGCTGTCCCTTTCATCTCATTACTATCCCATTAGCTTACTCAATGCCAATCCCTCCCCGTCCCGTTTCCCGCACCCCACCATTATCCTCAGGTGGGACGCATCATGGTGCTCCTTTTTGCAGGGCAGCTGCAGGCGCTGGTATCATGGCAAGCATCCTTACAACTCGCACTTCCTCTTGTCCCCTTCCCACGCCCCCTCCTTCCCTCGCACCCTCCTTCCCACGCACCCTCCTTCCCACGCACCCTCCTTCCCACGCACCCTCCTTCCCTCGCACCCTCCTTCCCACGCACCCTCCTTCCCTCGCACCCTCCTTCCCACGCACCCTCCTTCCCACGCACCCTCCTTCCCGCGCACCCTCCTTCCCACGCACCCTCCTTCCCACGCACCCTCCTTCCCATGCACCCTCCTTCCCACGCACCCTCCTTCCCACGCACCCTCCTTCCCACGCACCCTCCTTCCCACGCACCCTCCTTCCCACGCACCCTCCTTCCCACGCACCCTCCTTCCCTCCGCTGCACAGGTGGGGCGCACCATGGTGTTCCTACGCGCTGGGCAGCTGCAGGCACTGGAGGCGTGTCGGTCGCAGCGGGTGGATGCGGCAGCAGCGGCCATTCAGAGGGCTGTGCGGTGCTACCTATGGCGCAAGCACCGCCTGCATGCCACTATTGTCATTCAGAGCGCCTGGCGAGGTACTTCGGTTTAGTCAGTCAGAGGCATGGGCAGTGAGCGCATGGCAAGGCATGTGTGAGGCATTGGTCTATCTTTGAGGCGTTTCAAAAGTGGCGAGTGGATGCGGCAGCGGCAGCCATCCAGAGGGCTGTGCAGCGCTACCTGTGGCGCAAGCACCGGCTGCACGCCAGTGTTGTCATCCAGAGCGCATGGAAAGGTGTGTGAGAGGCGTGGGCAGTGAGGGCATGGAGATGTATGGGCGTTAAGAGCATGAGAACAGTTATGAATCACTGACCCCATTGAGAGCATGAGAACAGTTATGAATTACTGACCCCATTGAGAGCATGAGAACAGTTATGAATCACTGACCCCAATGAGAGCATGAGAACAGTTATGAATCACTGACCCCATTGAGAGCTTTCGCCGCATCAAATGCCTCCCTTCCTCCCCTCGCCCCCCTCTTCCTCACATCCGCTTCCCCATGCTATTTCACTCAGAGGATGGTGAGAGGGCAGAGGGAGGGGAGGGTAGCGCGCACATCCAGAGCTGGTGCATCCTCAAACCCCTCCTCCTTGCCCCTTCATCCCTCTCCCTCCCTCCACTCCCGCAGGCTACACCACCCGCCGGTCGGTGCGTGGTGGCGCGGGATGCGTGGAGAGAGTGGTGCGTGGGATGCTGGTGTGCTGACAGCACAGTGTGCTGTGACTTCCAGGAGCCACCCTGCCCCCCTCCACTCCCCCAGGCTACCGCACCCGGAGGATAATGAGGGTGCACAGAGAGAGGAGGCAAGCAGTGCGCATTCAAAGTTGGTGGCGCGTGTTGGTGGTGCGCTGTGTCCCTCCCTCACGCCCTACGCCTTTGTCTCCCCTTCCTCACATCCACGCACGCAGGCTAGCTGACTTGGAGGTTGGTGCGAGTGCAGAAGGAGAGGAGGGCTGCGGAGCGCATACAGAGCTGGTGGCGCGGGCTGGTGGTGCGCTGTGTCCCTCCCTCACGCCTACCTCCTCCTCCCACCCTCCACTCCCCCAGGCTACCTCACTCGGAGGCTGGTGAGAGTGCACAGAGAGCGCAGGGCAGCAGTGCGCATACAGAGCTGGTGGCGAGGGCTGGTGCTGCGCTGTGGCTTCCTGGAGCTGCGCCGCGTGGCCATCCTGCTGCAGCGCCGGCGCCGGGGAGAGATGGCGCGATACGCGGAGGAGTGGCGGCTGCAGCACTGGGCTGCTGTCACCATTCAGGTCAGTCGGTTCCCTTGCAGGGCAGTGCATCTGAGTCTGTGGCTTCCTGGAGCTGCGCCGCATCGCCATCCTGCTGCAGCGCCGCCGCTGAGTGCAGATGGCGCGATATGCGGAGGAGTGGCAGCAGCAGCACTGGGCTGCCATCACCATTCAGGTTGGTCGGTTCACTGTAGCGCATTCAGGTCTAATGAGACGTCTCAAAAGGCGCCTCTGCTGCTGCGGCGTCCCAGGGGGAAAATGGCTTCATGCGGCCTCTGCTATCACCACTCAGGTTGGCCGGTCCACTCGTACTGCAACTCAGTCTGTGTGTGTGTCTGGAGCTCATCATTTCTGCACGATTTCTCCTCGCCGCCCCACCACACCACCTGCCTTGTCCGCCTTTTCTTCCTCCCTCCTCCCCACCCCCTCTTCCTCATCTCCTTGCCACTCCCGCAACACCGTTTTCGCTCTTTCCTGTATTTCTATTCAGCCTTATGTTGCTCCATTCCACTGGCCGTCCTGCGATCCCAAATCCCCGGAATGACACTTTCGGTAGCCATTGACCGTTCTCACTGACCTGCCCTACTCAGCACTGCTGCTCCGAATTGACATCCCATTCTCTGCGTTTCTCCCTTCTTCCCCCCTCCCCTCCATTCTTCCCCCCTCCCCTCCATTCTTCCCCCCTCCCCTCCATTCTTCCCCCCTCCCCTCCATTCTTCCCCCCTCCCCTCCATTCCCCCCTCCCCTCCATTCTTCCCCCCTCCCCTCCATTCTTCCCCCTCCCCTCCATTCTTCCCCCCTCCCCTCCATTCTTCCCCCCTCCCCTCCATTCTTCCCCCCTCCCTCCATTCTTCCCCCCTCCCTCCATTCTTCCCCCCTTCCCTCCATTCTTCCCCCCCTCCCCTCCATTCTTCCCCCCTCCCCTCCATTCTTCCCCCCTCCCCTCCATTCTTCCCCCCTCCCCTCCATTCTTCCCCCCTCCCCTCCATTCTTCCCCCTCCCCTCCATTCTTCCCCCCTCCCCTCCATTCTTCCCCCCTCCCCTCCATTCTTCCCCCCTCCCCTCCATTCTTCCCCCTCCCCTCCATTCTTCCCCCCTCCCCTCCATTCTTCCCCCCTCCCCTCCATTCTTCCCCCCTCCCCTCCATTCTTCCCCCCTCCCCTCCATTCTTCCCCCCTCCCCTCCATTCTTCCCCCCTCCCCTCCATTCTTCCCCCCTCCCCTCCATTCTTCCCCCCTCCCCTCCATTCTTCCCCCCTCCCCTCCATTCTTCCCCCCTCCCCTCCATTCTTCCCCCCTCCCCTCCATTCTTCCCCCCTCCCCTCCATTCTTCCCCCCTCCCCTCCATTCTTCCCCCCTCCCCTCCATTCTTCCCCCCTCCCCTCCATTCTTCCCCCCTCCCCTCCATTCTTCCCCCCTCCCCTCCATTCTTCCCCCCTCCCTCTCCTTCCCCCAGGCCCATTGGAGGGGGTACAGCAGTCGCCGCCCCTGGCAGCTGCTGCAGCAGCACCTCAGGATGAAGGTCGCCAGAATGAGGCTTAACCGCCTTAAACAGGTCAGCCTCTAAACGGGATGAAGCAGGGGATGAATCACGGCTTTCCAGTTAAATATTTTTTCGTAAAGCTTGTGGACAGGATGGGCCTTTTGGAAACTTGTCTCGGTTTAGTGGCTGTGAGTAACCCTCTTGGCGGTCTCTTGGTCGCTCCCCCTCACATCTGTGAGTTAGCTCACTGTACTCGGGTGCCTTGATTGCCTCCTCCTTCCCATTCCTCACCGCCCTTTCCTCATCCCTGGCTTCCCTTGTCTCTGTTGCGCTCTCAACTTGACAACCACAGGCGGCGCAGCAGCAGGCGGAGCTGGCTCCGCCACGCAAGAAGGTGGACGTGGCTGTTGATGCCATCCGCCTGGCCGTGCTGCGCGTCATGCGGGTGAGATGGGGGTGATGTGGTAGAGATGGGAGCAATGCGGTTGAGATGGGAGCAATGCGGTTGAGATGGGAGCAATGTGGTTGAGATGGGAGCAATGCGGTTGAGATGGGAGCAATGCGGTTGAGATGGGAGCAATGCGGTTGAGATGGGAGCAATGCGGTTGAGATGGGAGCAATGCGGTTGAGATGGGAGCAATGCGGTTGAGATGGGAGCAATGCGGTTGAGATGGGAGCAATGCGGTTGAGATGGGAGCAATGCGGTTGAGATGGGAGCAATGCGGTTGAGATGGGAGCAATGCGGTTGAGATGGGAGCAATGCGGTTGAGATGGGAGCAATGCGGTTGAGATGGGAGCAATGCGGTTGAGATGGGAGCAATGTGGTTGAGATGGAAGCAATGTGGTTGAGATAGGAGCAATGTGGTTGAGATGGGAACTGAGAGGCATGGTCCGCAAGGGCCACACTGAGATGGTCGCACTGATACTTCTCTCCCTTTGCGACCTGGTGAAGATACATGCGTGTAAGAGGCTCATATTGAGGTTCTTAGAGCCCATTTCAGCTGCACAATGCCTGCTCATGCATTCTCGTTCAAAACACCTCTCCACTGCACCCCCTCCCATCCCACTCCATCCCATCTAGGCATGGGCATTAGCCCGACCCGAACCGACCCGACCCGACCCGTCTAGGCCGACCCGAGGCTCAGCTCGGGTTGGGTCGGGTATACCCGACCCCGGGTATTTGGCCCCAGGATGTTGACCCGACCCGCCCAGTACCTCTCGGGTATCCCTCACCTGCGGTCGGGCTGGTTATACCCAATGTCGGGTCAGGTATACCCGCATACCCTTTTGTTAGTTCTATTGTATATTCGTAACCCTAGCCCCAGGCACACCACTCGGGTACGAGTATACCCGACCCGACCTAGAACCACCGGGTCGGGTACCGGGTATTTTTTTTACCCGACCGGGGGCATACACTACTCGACCCGCCCGGGCAGTCAATCGCAATATAAGGACCCATGCCTAATCCCATCCCATCCCATCCCAGGACAAGGCAGAGCGGGCCAGAGCAGCACCAGGGAGTCATGTCTGCATTCGATAAGGAGCTTGCGGCGGCTTCTGAATCGACTCAGAAGTCACTTTTAGACTCACCCCAGTCCATCCCACTCCATCCCCTCTCAGGACAAGGCAGAGCGGGCGAGAGCAGCAGCAGAGGAGTCAGTGTCTGCCCTTCAGAGGGAGCTGGAGGCTCGGTCCCACCACGCCCACACCATTATCTGAAATCTGAGTCGACTAACAAATCCCTCCATCCCATTCCATCCCATCTCAGGACAAGGCAGAGCGGGCGAGGGCAGCAGCAGAGGAGTCAGTGTCTGCCCTTCAAAGAGAGCTTGAGGCTCGGTCCCGCCACGCCCACGCCCTCGACCGGGACCTCCGAGCCACCCGCTGCGACCTGGAGATCCGAACCTCCGAAGCCGAGGCTCGGATCGCCGAACTTGAGGCAGAGGCTCGGGAGGCAGACCGGCAGCGGCGGGAGTGGGAGGCTCGGGCGAAAGAGCAGGATATGGTTGAGAGGGAGGTGAAGGAGAGGAGGAGGGAGGTGGAGCAGTGGAGGAGGGAAGCTGAGGGGAAGGACGGAGAAGTTAGGAGACTGAGGGAGGAGTTGGAGGTAGTGAGGGGGAGGCTGAGAGAGGCTGAAGGGCAGGTGGTGGGACTGAAGCAGGAGGTGATGATGGTTGAAGGGAGGGTGGAGTTGATTAGAGAGGATGTGGAGAGGGCTGAGAGGAGGGCGGAGGAGGAGAGAGCACGGGCGGAGGCGGCAGAAGGGAGGGCGGAGGCAGCAGAAAGAAGGGCCGAGGAGCTGATGCGGCAAGTGCGGGAGATGAAGGCAGAGCTTGATGAATCCGTGGCTGCTGCCCTTGCTGCTGCTGCTGCTGCTGCCGCTGCTGGTGGTGGTGCTGCTGCCGGTCACGCATCTGCTGGTGCTTCTGCTGCTGTTAACAGCCCTGCTGGACCCGGATTGATCCCAGGGCAGATGATGATTGAGTGGCACAGTAAGGACCCCAGCATGGCAGAGAAGGCGGGGCGGGAGAGGGAGAGGGCGGCATTGTCAGGCCTAAGACCGCCCTCAGTGGTGTCAGGTGTGGAGGAGACCTCTTCTTCAGTGGTGCTCATGCGGGGGGAGGAGGGCGACACTCTCACCGACATGATCAGTGAACGAATCTCAGAGCGAGCCCCTGACGGTGTAACCCCTGACGACGACGGCTACACCTACACCTACCTCGTCTCGCCTCCTCCCCCACCTCCCCCTCCGCCCCTTCCGGCTCACACCACCGCAGCAGCAGCAGACATCCCTGCCCCAGGAGGCCTCTCCCCGCCACTCCCAGACTTCCCCCCACCGCCACCTCCAGCCTACCGCAGCCCTCCAGTGGGGATGATGGTGCCGCCGCGCTGCCACTCGGACCGCCTCCGCTCCTCCCCCTCCACCTCCAGTGTGGGCTCTCTGGACGAAGACTGGAGCCTCAGGGAGGGGATGCTGGGAGGCGGTAGGTCGACAGTGGCAATGCGCCTGGGAATGGGGGGAACGGGGCCACCAGGGGGGTTCCGGGCTGGGCCTGGGGGAGGTGCCACCTGGGGCGGGTTTTATGGCCGGGCGGGGAGCGCTGGAACGCCTTAAGTGGTGAGTTTTGGCGGGGGGAGCGGGGGAGGTGCGGGCGGAGTCGGAGCAGGAGGGAGTGGTTCGGCGCCGAGCCTCCACCAGATGATAGCTCTGGCGGAGAAGGATCGGGACATGGCGGCGCGGCTGGGAGCAGAGGCGGACTGGCTGAGGGGGGCATATAAGGAGACGAGGCAGGAGGCGAGTGTGGCGCGGGCGAGAGCACGGCAGGCGGAGGCAAGGATGGAGGAGGTGAGGCGCGAGCTGCTGCAGTGGCAGGCGCTGGCTGCTGAGCTGCAGCAGCAGGTGCACTCTCTGCAACGCCAGCTCGACAGGTGGGTTGGGTGGGGGGTAGGGGTAGGTGGGTTGGTCGGGCTGCTCAGGGGGAGCAGGTGGGAAGTTGGGCAGGTTAGAGTCTGCTAAAGGTCAGATGGGTCCCTTGAACCTCAACCCTAAGCCTTAAACCTTGGGGGGTGGATAGGCGAGTGTGGCATGGGCGAGAGCACTGCAGGCAGAGGCAGGCGCTGGCTGCAGAGCTACAGCAGCAGCAGGTGCACTCGCTGCGGCGCCAGCTCGACAGGTGGGTCGTTGGGGGACGGGGCACGTGGACACGTGCGCTGTGTGGGGATGGTGCTACGATAGGTGGTGCAATGAGCTGCCTCCTTCTTCTCTCCCCTGACCCCCCTCTTCCTCCATCTCTCTCCTACCCAAGTGCAGCCTGCAGGCAGGAAAGAAGGAGCACATGGAGGGGACAGGTGCGGCAGGAGCGAAGGGCATCGTGCAGGAGAGGGGCCGAGGCAGGGAGAGGGAGAGGAACGGGCGATCAGGCATTCTCACTCGCCGCCTGCTGCAGCAGCAGCAGCAGTATGGGGGTGGGGGTGGTGGCAGTGGCACGGTGCCGTCGTCTCCTGTATCGCCCACGGCAGGAGCCATGTCTGCCTCTGCTCCTTCCTACTCCTCACAGGTAAGCCACGGGCACACCACACAACATCGTCTGCTCCCACCGCCGTCACTGTATTACTCCGTCTCACTCCATCACCATCAGTTCTGGACCCTCAAGTCCCACCCTCTCACCGCTTTTGATTTTCCTGCTGTTCATATCCACCATCATTTACACCCTGTTCCTACTCGCTCTAACACTCTCCGTCTCACCCCTTCCCACTCCAATTCCCTCCACCATCCCCCTTCCCCCGCTCAACTGCAGTACCTGCTGTGCCACGTGTTCATCTCTACCATCCCTGCCACCCAAATCCTTATTCGCTCTGACACTCTCCCTTACTCCTTCCCCTCCCCTTCCACTGCCCTTTCCCCTCTTTCCCCCACGCCCCTTCAGGTGCAGTATCTGCTGCGCTATGTGGTGCGTCCGCTGGGCTTCACCCCCTCAGGCCACTCAGTGCCGGCCTGCTTCCTCTTCACCATCCTGCGCTTCTGGCCGCACCTCTCCTTCCATACCAACCTTCTCTCTACCACCATCACTGCCACCACGCCCACATCAGCAGCAGCAGCAGCAGCAGAAGCGGCGGCGGCTGCTGGCGCTACAGCCGTCCCTCCCTTCCTCCCCCCCTCCACCCCCTTCTCCCCCTACTCCCCCTACTCCTCCACCTCCTCCCTCCCCTTCTCCTCCCTCTCCCCGTTCTCCTCCCTCTCCCTCTCTTCATCCCCCATCCCCCCACACGACGAAGTGCTAACAGCGATCCGCACCGCCCTGCAGCGCTCAGCAGGGAGTCTGGAGCGCCTGGCGTATTGGATCTCCACCCTTGTTGCCCTGCACGCGCTGCTGCTGGGAGGGCTTAAGCCCGCCCGCTGGCAAGCCATGGCTGCTGCTGCTGCAGCGGCAGCGACTGGGGGAGGGGGTGGGGAAGGAGAGATGGAGGCGGATTCGCAGCAGGCGAAAGGGAGGAGGGAGGAGGCGGTGGGCTGTGCTGCTGCTGATGCTTCTGCTGTGCACACAACACCACCATCCCCCAGTGAAACCGCAGCAGCAGCTGCAGCAGCTTCTGCTGCTGATGGGTTTGCAGCAGCCTCAGGTGCCAGAACCACAACTGCTACTGCTAAAATCCCTGCCAGGGCTACATCTGCCGGGAGCGGTGTGGGAGCAACCAACCCAGCAGCATCAACTAGCAGCAGCACGCCTGGCAGTCGTAGCAGCATCAAGGCTGCAGCGTCCTTCTTCAGTGGGCTCTTCTCCTCCCGCTCCTCCGCCTCCTCCACCCCTCCCTCTGCCGCCCATGCCACACACAACCCCTCCGTCTCTGCTGCGTCTGCTGCCGCCCCTGCCATGCCGCCTCCGTCCCGTCAACCCCCTCTTCCCACCCAAAACAGCACCCCCACACAGCAATCTTACCCACACCACCCTTCCCCACCTCATTCCACCACTGCTAGTACCATCCCCAATGCTGCTCCCAATGCTGCTGCTGGTGCTGCTGCCAGTGCTACCAGCACTCAAATCCCAGGAGCCCCACCGCCCTCCTCGTCCTCCTCTCCCGTGCCTGCCTCTGCCCACGCTGTTCCGCGTGCCGGCACCACCAGCCTGGCGTGTGCTCCCATGGGGCAGGACCTTGACCCTGCTGCACCCGGACCCACTGGCTTGGTAAGGTGTACTGCAGGGTGTAAGGGAGTGCTAAGCGGTGGTAGACGATGGTAGGGAGTGGTAGGAAGTGGTAGGGTCCGTGCCGGCACCAGCAGCCTGGCGTGTGGCAAGACCTTGACCCGGACCCACTGGCTTGGTGAGGCCGTGTGCGGGTTGCGCCGGGGTTGTAAGGGGTGGTAGAGGGATGGTACAGGTAGTAGGGGGATGGTAGGGTGTTAAGGGGATGGTACGGGGTGATACTGGGTGTTAGGGGGATGGTACGGGGCGGGGGGTGATATTAGAGGAGATGGTAGTGGGTGGTTACGGGTGAGCACACTAGGTGGGCGCACTAGGTGGGCGCACTAGGTGGGCGCACTAGGTGGGCGCACTAGGTGGGCGCACTAGGTGGGCGCACTAGGTGGGCGCACTAGGTGGGCGCACTAGGTGGGCGCACTAGGTGGGCGCACTAGGTGGGCGCACTAGGTGGGCGCACTAGGTGGGCGCACTAGGTGGGCGCACTAGGTGGGCGCACTAGGTGGGCGCACTAGGTGGGCGCACTAGGTGGGCGCACTAGGTGGGCGCACTAGGTGGGTTTGTATGTGGCGCACCTTGCTCCTCCTGCTCTCTCTGCGCTGCCCTATTGTGCCTCTCACTTCCTCCTCTCTCCAGACCTCATGGCCCCCACCCCAGCTCACAAAATGATTTCATGCTGCTGCCGCACAAGGTGCTACGTGTTTGTGTAGCACGCAGTCCTTTCCAGTGCTGAGCTATCCACACTCCTTATGCTCTTTCTCTATTTGTCTCGTTCTCTTTGTTCTCTATGTTCCATACCATCCGCCCCCAGTTCGCCCTGCTAGGGGAGACCATGCTGCTAGCCCACAAGGTGGGTGCGTGTGTGCAGCACACAGGGGTTCAATCAAGAATCTCCCTTTCTGCAGCTCTTTGCGTCTGTGGTTCACCCACCCCTCTCTTCTCCGTACCGTCTCCCCCAGTTCGCCCTACCAGCAGAGACCATGCTGCTGGCGCACAAGGTGGATGGGTGTGTGCAGCACGCAGTGGGGCTATTTACGCACCACTGCACCTCGCAAGTCGCTGCCCTCCTGCAACCACCCGTCAGTGCTGCCAGCTGCTTGCATTTGCTTTCGTCTTTGCCCTTGCTTTTCTTTTGCCGTTGCCCTAGCATTTGTTGCCTTTTGCTGTCGCTTTTCTGCCTCTGCTTCTGCGTCCTTGACTTTGCTTTTCCTTTTCCTGTGTTCCTGCTCTTGCTGGTCCATCTGCCTAAGCTTTTAACCCAAAACCACTGCACCTGTTGCTTATGCAGCCACAGCAGCTGCAATCACATGGAACGGACGGATCAGCAGCAGAAGCAGCATCTGGAAGGCGGGCGAGTGGAGGCGCATTGCCCAAGTTCCCAAGCGTTGCCCTCAAGGAGCATGTGGGCAGCACGTGGAGCAGCGTGGTGGGTGTGCTGCGGCGGGCAGCACTGGTGCTGCTGGAGAACCAGGTGCCCCCGCCCGTCATCCAGAGCGTGCTCAAGCACCTCCTCTCCTTCATCAACGTTCGAGTCTTCAACAGGTACAGGGGCTGTTGACACCTGTGTGACAGTAACTGTGATGCACATGGTGGTGGGTGTGCTGCGGCGGGCAGCGTTGGTGCTGCTGGAGAACTAGGGGCTGTTGGGCAGCGTTGTTGGGCAAACACCTCCTCACCTTCATCAACGTGCGCGCCTTCAACAGGTGTGTGGCACGCAGCTATGCGCTTATGCTCAACAGCTGGTTCAACAGGTACAGCTGTCTTCAACAGGTAAGGGGAGGGGTGTGTGTGATGTGCTTCAAACATGTAGAGTCGTGTTCAACAGGTAGAGTCGTGTTCAACAGGTAGAGTCGTGTTCAACAGGTAGAGTCGTGTTCAACAGGTAGAGTCGTGTTCAACAGGTAGAGTCGTGTTCAACAGGTAGAGTCGTGTTCAACAGGTAGAGTCGTGTTCAACAGGTAGAGTCGTGTTCAACAGGTAGAGTCGTGTTCAACAGGTAGAGTCGTGTTCAACAGGTAGAGTCGTGTTCAACAGGTAGAGTCGTGTTCAACAGGTAGAGTCGTGTTCAACAGGTAGAGTCGTGTTCAACAGGTAGAGTCGTGTTCAACAGGTAGAGTCGTGTTCAACAGGTAGAGTCGTGTTCAACAGGTAGAGTCGTGTTCAACAGGTAGAGTCGTGTTCAACAGGTAGAGTCGTGTTCAACAGGTAGAGTCGTGTTCAACAGGTAGAGTCGTGTTCAACAGGTAGAGTCGTGTTCAACAGGTAGAGTCGTGTTCAACAGGTAGAGTCGTGTTCAACAGGTAGAGTCGTGTTCAACAGGTAGAGTCGTGTTCAACAGGTAGAGTCGTGTTCAACAGGTAGAGTCGTGTTCAACAGGTAGAGTCGTGTTCAACAGGTAGAGTCGTGTTCAACAGGTAGAGTCGTGTTCAACAGGTAGAGTCGTGTTCAACAGGTAGAGTCGTGTTCAACAGGTAGAGTCGTGTTCAACAGGTAGAGTCGTGTTCAACAGGTAGAGTCGTGTTCAACAGGTAGAGTCGTGTTCAACAGGTAGAGTCGTGTTCAACAGGTAGAGTCGTGTTCAACAGGTAGAGTCGTGTTCAACAGGTAGAGTCGTGTTCAACAGGTAGAGTCGTGTTCAACAGGTAGAGTCGTGTTCAACAGGTAGAGTCGTGTTCAACAGGTAGAGTCGTGTTCAACAGGTAGAGTCGTGTTCAACAGGTAGAGTCGTGTTCAACAGGTACAGGGGTGTGTTGCGGCATGCAGCACTGCCTCCCCCTGTCACCCAGAGCGTGCTGAAGCACCTCCTCGCCTTCATCAATGTCTCCGTCTTCAGCAGGAAGCCATCTCCAACAGGCGTGGCGCTCAGATATGAGCTTGTTGTTGTATTCAACAGGTAGAGGGGGTGTCTACACCTGTGATGTGATGTTCATGTGGCCGTGCCCAACAGGCAGATGGCATGTGCTGAGCTGATGCGATGCGATCCCCCCTACTCCCTCCCCCACCTCTCAGCCTCATGGTGCGCAGCACGTGGTGTCCCTGCACGCACAGCAACGGCAAGCTGCTGTGCGACGCGCTCTCCCTGCTCAACGTCTTCCTGGAGGAGCTCCCCGAGGTGCTGTGGGAGCCACTGCACGCTCACAGAAGGGGCGCTGGGATGGGAATGGATGGAGGGGAGGAGGAGGGAGGGGGTGGAGGGGAGGAGGGAGGAGAGGAGGGGGGTGAGGGGGAGGTGAGTGAGGAGGAGGAGGAGGATGCGGGGCAGGCGAAGAAGTCTGTGTGGCGCCACTTGCGGCACCTGCAGCAAGCCGTGTCGCTGCTGGTGGGTGCAGTGTGGTGCTGGTGGGTGCAGTGTGGTGCTGATCGTTGCAGTGTCTATGCATGATCATGCCCCCTGCCTCTAGTCCCCTCTGCTCTTTTCTGCTCCGCACTCTCCTCCTTCCCTCCACCCAACCCCAACCCCCCACTTTCCCCACACCCCCCTTCCTCATCAGCCCTTTCTCTTCTCCCCCCTTCCAACCCCCCATTCCCCTGCTCTCCAGGCCATGGAGCACAAGCCTTCATGCTCGCTGCCCCACCTGCGCTCGCTCTGCCCGGACCTGAACGCGAATCAGCTGGTGCATCTGTGCGTGTGGTACCAGGACGACTGCTACAGCACACAGTGGCTGCCCGCTGCTGTGGTGGATCAGCTGTGGGGGGAGGTGGATGAACGCACGCCCATGCTGCTGCAGGAGACTCCCAGGTAAACTCTCTGCCTCATAAGAGAATGGTTGTCCTTCACACTTGAAGGCATATGACCGGCGTTTCATGAGCTTGCTTGTGAGAATTCTCAAACACCAGCGTAGCACGCAGGGCCTACCCACTGCTGTGGTGGACCAGCTGGGGTGGGGAGGACTTTTGAGGGGCCTCAACAGACGACTTTTTTGTTTTTGCGCCTCAAAAGACGACTTTTTCTTCAGGCGCCTCAAAAGTCAGGGGCTACCCACTGCTGTGGTGGGCCAGCTGGGGTGAAGAGGTGGACGAAAGCACACCCTTTTGGCCACATCCCCATCTCACTGCCTCCCCAATGCTGCAGGTCCCCTGTGAGCATGGCGGTCAGCACCGAGTGGTTGCCCTTCATCCACCACACACCCACATGCTCACGCCCCACATGCTCACGCCCCACATGCTCACGCCCCACATCCTTCCGCCCCACATCCTTCCGCTCCACATTCGCACCACTCCCCGTGTCCCTCCCATGCAGGTCGCCTGTGAGCATGGCAGACAGCACAGAGTGGTTTCCCTTTCACCATGACGGAGCCAACCCGCAGTGCAGTCCCCCGCCTTCCTTGTCGCTGCCTTCTTGTCATGCTCTCATCTGTTACGTTACCATGCCCTCACCTCCCTCCCTCCCACGCAGGTTGCATTTGAGCATAGCGGACAGCAGGGAGTGGTTCCCCGTCATCCATCACGATGCAGCCAACCCATAGTCCCCCTCCTTCCTTGCAGGTCCCCCCTGTGATTCCTTCTTTCCATGCTCTCATGTCTACGTCTTTATCCCACTCCCTCCCCCAACTGTGCAGGTCCCCTGTGAGCATAGCAGACAGCACGGAGTGGTTCCCCTTCATTCATCACGATGCAGCAAACCCGCAGTTCCCCGCCTTCCTGCGCTCGCTGCTGCTCAAGCGTGCCTCCTCCACGCGCTCCTCCCTGCACACCCCTGCCAGCAGCACCGACAGCCACCTGCTGCCCCACAGCACCCCAAACCTGGGCCCACAGTTGCATGGCTTACAGTCACATGGCATACAGTCACACGGATTACAGTCACATGGGGTGCAGTCACATAAAGTACAGTCACACGGGGTGCAGTCACAATCCCACGGGTTACATTCACCTGCGCTACAGTCACATGGTGTACAATCACAAAACGCCCCGTCTACAGTGGTGCCCAAGTCCCCAGGAGCACAGTCTACTTTGAGCGCTCACTCTGACCTGCCTCTCTCCCACATGCCGGCGGCACTTCAAGAAGAAACCTCCCCTGCTCCGCACCTCCCCCAGGCAGACCTGCCAGCTCACGCTGAGGATGTGGAAGCCACGACTAGCGCCAACCACACAGCTATGTATAATTCCAGTGCTTATCACGTGTCTGAATATGACGGGATGGCTTATCAGGCAAGGGGTTCTGAAAGTGGAGCAGGGATACAAGGTGGTGGGGGGAATCGAGCGAGCCTAACGGGTAGTGTAACCGGGGGTGGTGGTGGTGGTGATGGGGATGGTGGTGGTGATGGCATGGAAGGTGACATGGGCAGGGATGAGTCGCCACTGGCATCATCGAGTAACCAATGGGGATTTGCAGAGAGGTTGGCCCGCATAAAACCAAACTAGTTTTTTCTGATTTGACTTCTTGTCGCAATGTAATGAGCTCGCAAAACCATTAAAACAAACTTAAATCAATATCACTACAGGGTGTATTCCGTCCCTAGGGACAGCTATACAGGGGAATGAAGCTGGTCATACCCATGCAACTGCTGTTGCTCGATGCTAGCCATTGATGCTATTCTATGAATGGGTCCCACCCATACCCACACAGAGAAGTACCGGACCAGTGCCACCCTTATTCGTTGAACTCAGTGTGCCTTGAGTTCGGCTGCACCAATCAGTTGTTACTTACTGTACTGCCATCCACTAATGATGTGTGCTGCTTCTGTTTGCTGTCCCTTCCCGCTGCTTCTCCTTGCTGTCTCTTCCTGCTGCTTCTGCCTGCTGTCTCCTCCTGCTACCTCTGCTTGTTGTCTCTTCCTGCTGCTTCTGCCTGCTGTCTCCTCCTGCTACCTCTGCTTGTTGTCTCTTCCTGCTGCTTCTGCCTGCTGTCTCCTCCTGCTACCTCTGCTTGTTGTCTCTTCCTGCTGCTTCTGCCTGCTGTCTCCTCCTGCTACCTCTGCTTGTTGTCTCTTCCTGCTGCTTCTGCCTGCTGTCTCCTCCTGCTACCTCTGCTTGTTGTCTCTTCCTGCTGCCTCTGCTTGCTGCATCTGCGTGCGAGCAGAGCGACCCGTAGCGCTGGAAGTCGTACGACGCGCAGAGCGTGCTTTACGCGCCCATGAGGTCCCGCAGCACCACGCGGAACGTGTGGCGCAGGTCCAGGTGGGACAGCACGCCGTCCCACACCTGCGGGTGGTGAGAAAAGTTGACTTTTGAGTCGACTTAAGAGTGACCAGCACCAGGCGGAACGTGCGGGGCAGATCTACGTCTAAAAAAATTGGGCCTCGGATGTTAGTTTGAGCTAACTGTAAGGAATTTTCTCGAATTCCTTATCGGGGTTGACTGCTTCGCATACAACCCGATTTTCGGACTATGCACATTCGGCCGATTTCAACGCTGCCGAGGCTCCTCGCGTCGCCTTCGGCATTTTCCCATCGCCAAACCTGCACCCAACCTCGCTCGTCCGAGGTTCCCTCCTAGCTAGGCTAGCCCTACATTAGTCTGTGCATTCATTGTATTCGCAGTTGATTCAGTCACAACCTCGTTATTCGATTATCTGCGCACTCTCTTTTACAACTCATAACACCTGGTATCAGAGCTACTTTCCTAGTTCACCCCGCTTTTCGAGGGTATTTTGGTGGCACGGGTGTGGCTGGTTTAGTGACTACACGACGGTTGGCTGCAGGGATTGTTAATTCAATCCTGCCCGACTCCGATAGTTCGTGTTTTCATTTGCCTGAAGGCCACGGGTACCCGACTGCCCACCAGACGTAGTGCTAGGCACATGGATCAGGAGGCTGTTAACCAGTTGTTGGCGCAAGTGGCAGAAATGCAGGAGGGCATGAAGTCATTAATGGCGGAAGTGACAACATTGCGGGAGGAAAACGCCGAGCTACGCCAGACGCGAGGTGAAGCGCGTCAGGAGTCGCCCGTCGAAGAAGGCGAGGGCAACAGTCAGGCGATGAGCAATCCACTGGATACGCTCGCACGTGACTTCGAAGAAGAAGATAGGCAGCGAGCGGCAGCAGCGCCAGTTGCAGTAACGACGATCAAGATCAAGCCCGCCAACCCACCCCCGTTTAATCCTACGGACAAGACGACTACAGTGAAGGGGTGGCTGTTCGGTGTCGAGGTCTTCTTCACGGCAGCAGGCGTTAACGACGATGCCACGCGTATTAATTACGCGGTTTCGCTTCTTCGAGGTGCAGCGCTTGAATGGTGGCGCCGGACCTTGGAAACGGGGACGCCGACAGGTGTGACACATGCGGCAGACGGGACCTCTGCAGCGACTAATCAAGTGGCAGAATCAATCTTTGGTGTGACCACGATACGCACGTGGAAGGAGTGGGGTGCAGCCTTGTGAAACCGTTTCGAGCACATATCCGCCTCGGAGCAAGCTCGCATGAAGCTGCGTGCCTGGTCGCAGATGGCATCTGTCCAAGACTACACAGCGTCATTCATGGGCCTCGCCGACCAAGTGGATGACATGTCGGAAGCAGAGCGGTTGGATAAATACATCAGCGGCCTCAAGTACGAGATTCAATACGAGGTTCGCAGGGGCCGCCCGACATCATTCCTTGAAGCAGTACGGTTGGCGGAATCTACGTACGCACTGATGCAGTACGCGAGAACAGCTTCCAGGGATGGAAACCGTTTTCGTGGCCAGACCCATCGGGCCACTATCAACGCCGTCCATACACCCGACCGCCCTCCTAAGGGACCGTGTTACCGGTGTGGGAAGACGGGTCACTACATGAAAGACTGCCCCGAGAAAACGTCGCCGACAGGGAACGACAGGAAGGAGCAGGGAAATGGGAAAAGTCAGTAATTAGCGGGCCCTTTACTGACTACGCTCCGTCGCCCGAACCCCACCATCCCCACCAAGTCGTGGTTCCGATTCATGCAATCGATCGCACTCGGCCGAATAACGAGGATAAGCATGTGGATCACCCTGTGCTGGTCGCTGGCAAGGTGTTAAAAAATATTTTGAAAATGTTCGTCGATGGGGGGGCCAGCCATAGCCTCTTCAACTTGGCGAGCGCAAAAAGATGCAAGCTGCAACTTGACAGGTGTCTGCCCGAAATTGACGCCCGCCTCGTGGATGGGACGCCTCTGGCGATAACGGAAGAAACACGGACGGTCAGGATCGAATGCGGCGACGATTTCGGCTTCAGCATGAAGTTCCTCGCGACGACGCTGGACGGCTGTGATGTGCTGCTGGGACGTGATTGGCTGCGACGACACAACCCCGTCATCGACTGGACCACGGGATCGTGCAGCATCAGCAAGCACAAGGGGTTATTTAAACTACCTGCATGGACACCTGACTACATCCAAGCCCCGTGCGTGAAGGCCATCACTATAGCTCGCCACTTCAACAAGGGCACGCAGCTGTTCGCTGTCTGCTTACGCGAGTTGGCAGTCGACACCGACGGAAAGGACATCGAGAAGCTGTGTGCAGCTGTACCTCCGGATTTAGCGGAGCTGATTCGACAGTACCCCGACATTTTCCCGGACGATCTGCCACCTGGGCTGCCACCCGAGAGACCCGAAGACCATAAAATCCAGCTGGAACCTGGCGCGCAACCAACTGTTCGGACACAGTGGCGGTTGACCCAGCCGGAACTCGAGGATCTGCGCCGACAAATCGACGCACTGTTGGAAAAAGGGTTCATTCGGCCAAGCACCTCCCCATTTGCGGCACCGATCCTGTTCACTCCGAAGAAGGACGGCGGGCTTCGCATGTGCATCGACTATCGCGCGTTGAACCGGGTGACCATCAAGTCTCGCTACCCAATCCCACGCACCGACGACCTTCTCGACCAACTTCGTGGTGCTCGCTACTTCTCGAAAATCGACTTACGTGGCGGTTACCACCAGATTCGAGTCTTCGCCGACGATTGTCACAAGACTGCGTTTCGCACACGCTACGGGAGTTACGAATTTACGGTGATGCCTTTCGGCCTCACGAACGCGCCGTCGACATTTCAACTAACCATGAACAGGGTCTTTCGAGATCTTCTAGACCGATGTGTCATCGTCTACTTGGACGATATCCTCATTTTTAGCAAGACACGGGAGCAGCATCTCCGCGACCTGGACGCAGTGTTTAAGCGGTTGCAGGAGAACCGCCTCATCACCAAGGGCTCTAAGTGCGAGTTTTTTAAGCAAGAGTTGGAGTTTTTGGGGCACGTCATTTCCCGCGACGGCATTAAAATCGACCCGGCGAAAATCAAGACCATACAGGAGTGGAAGTCCCCGACTAATGTCACGGAACTTCAAAGTTTTCTGGGGTTCGTGAATTATGTCCGGCGGTTTATCCCGAATATGGCGGGGATAACCGGCCCGCTGACCGACCTGCTGCACAAGGACAAGAATTTCGTGTGGGGGGAGGAGGCAGAGGCGGCTTTCCAGGAGCTCAAGAATTTTCTCGTTTCCCCTCCTGTGCTGCGCATCGCCGACCCATCGAAGCCGTTCGAAGTCGTAACCGACGCCTCTGATTTCGCCATCGGAGCTGTGCTACTCCAAGATTTCGGGAACGGGCTGCAGCCGATCGCCTACGAATCATGCAAATTGCAGGCAGCCGAACGCAACTACCCGATCCACGACAAGGAGATGCTCGCCATCATCCACGCGTTCAAACTGAGGCGCTGCTACTTGGTGGGCGCCGACGTCACTGTGCGCACGGACCACAAGTCCCTACAGTACCTGCGAGCCCAGCCCAACCTCAACCCGCGACAAATTCGGTGGCTGGACTACATGGAGAGCCACTTCACCTACCGCATCACGTACAAGAAGGGGGCGAATAACATCGCCGATGCCTTGACCAGACCGACAGTACAATCCGCTGCAGTACTCATCACTCATTCGAACCCGTTACTTACCGGACTATTCACCCACGGCTACACTACGGACCCGTTCTTCACGACTGGGAATCACCAGCAGGCCACGACGCAGAAAGGGGATTATTACCTAAAAGTCGGAACCGACCGGATTTGGGTTCCCGCTTACCGGCTGCTGCGTGAACTCCTTATCTAAGAGGTCCACGATTCGAACTTCTCCGGACACTTCGGGGTTGACAAAACCCAGAAATTACTGCACCGTCAATATTACTGGCTCGTCTAACGACGTGCAGCGCTATGTGTCCTCATGCAGGGTGTGCCAAGCCATGAAATCGACACGTCAACGACCAGCTGGGCTACTGCAACCCCTCGAGCCACCCGAACGACCGTGGCAACAGGTGACGATGGATTT